AACCCCCATGTGCACCCTGTATTCAGCGACTACTCAGCTCCAGCTTCAGAAGGAAGCTTTTCAACCATACAGAGCTCAAGGTTCTCGGTGGCACTCACACAGTGCTGGATTTCTCATGTGGGATTCAGAAGTGGGTTCATCCTCACTGATGCTCCCTCGTAATGAAGCTGAGTTCCTAGTGCTCCGCCCAGATGCCCTCGGATCCCCACCACCAGTCCTCGCCTCACCCCCTACTCTTTCTTCTATGAGCCTGGACCTTGGGGACTGAGTGGCTTTGCCCAGAAGCTTAGAGAGCACAGGCTCAGAGAACACAGGTCTGGGAGCTGACATTGCTCTGGGGCATCTCAAAGGGAGTGACTGTGAGATGCCCCAGGAAAGCCCAGTTCCCTTCCTCAGGTAAGGACAATCCTTGCACTGCCCCCCTGAGGATCACGCTGCACCTAGGACTGTGCTAAGTCCATACCCTTGCTTGGCTACTTCCTCTCCAGCCTGCCTCACAACACCCTGATAATTCTCTCCTAGGAAGACTTTTTAAATAAATCACTTGCACAGAAACCCTCATACCAGGATCTGCTTCTGGCAACCCAAACCCAAATACAGGATGGCACAGGTTGCTTGCACACTGTGGGATTTCACAATGATGTCTGCCTGGCACACCAGCCCCTAGCAGGATGCTCCTAAGGCTTTGCCTGTGCAAACAGCTTTTGGACATTAAGCCCGGCGTGCAGTTATGCCAAAGTGCTGTGACTGATTGCAGTTTCCTGCTTGATGACAACCAGGGTGTGACCTGACATTCCCTCAAATTCCAGCTCCCTGGGACCTCAAGGGGCATGACTGGAGATATTTTGTGCTAGTTTCTTAGGCTCATGTCCACATGAGTTGCTGGGGAGGGCATCTGAACTTTTATTTGGCTGTTGCAGCTGATTCTACACTGAGTCTTGTGTCAGAAGCCAGCCTGGTCTGCCTCTCCCTGCACCTGTATTGTTCACTAATTTCCATGATTGGTACTGGTGGTGGTCGGGGATGTTCTCCATCAGTTTGGAGCTTAGGGGGGCAGCCAGTGGCCTTCTGGTTAGGGACATGCTGGACTCTAGAGTTTTAAACCTAGGGGTAGACCAAACCCTAGTCAGTTAGTCCACCTTTTTCTGCTAAACTTTGCACCTAGGGCTGAACTCTGTGAGTGGACATCACTAATGACTGCTCCTGGAGGCCTGATGACCCACAAGCCCACAGCAATCCAGCGGCACACTGGGGATGACCTAACCTGTGGAGAGCTGTCCATCAGCCAAGCATAACCCTTCTTGATCCTCACCTTCTGGCTGGAGGCCATGTTCAGGTCACCATGTGAAAACTGCACCTGCACTTACTTTACGGTCCTTGCCATCATGGCCCACAAAACCACTGGTCCCATCTATACCCACCTGCTTATTCCTGGGACCATAACATGTACACTGCTTCCAGATGGGAAGGTGGGTGGAGGAAAAACTCCTGCCTCGGGAGGATGAGAGCTGTGGTGGCCTGGGACCTCTCTTGGCTTGGAGAGCTGGGCGTACTTCCCCTACAAGTTTCAAAGGGAGGCAGGCCCTTTACCATGCACAGGCTCCCGCTGTTGGGAGTGCTCCTCAGAACTCTTTGGGAAGAAGGCTGGGAGGGTCTGATGACCTCTGGATTTCTGGGACTCCCATGCGATCCTCACCCAGGACACCTGTATTCACAAATACGGATCTTCAGGAGCCTTCTGATTCATCCACATAAGACCCAGTGCAAGCCAACCCACAAACTCAGCTTGAGCCGACTGAGGCCGGCTGCCTTTGTCAGCTGGGGTAGCTCGGACACATCTTCTGTTTGTCTGAACTCAAACCATTCTCTGCTCTGACTGGGCCTTCCTCACTTAACCCCAGTTAAGGCGCAGATGAGTCAATTCAGGGATGGTCAACCAAGGCAGATAGAGATTTACAGAAAGTGCTAAAATCCCTGAGTTCTGCTTGGTAGAGTTTGGAGGACGTTGGTGTGACACATTCCATGGGGTTTCCAAGAACCAGCTGCCAATGTAAGACAATTCCAGGACCTGGCCATGTGAGTGTGTCCCCAAGAAGATGTGGTCGCCCTGGGCACATGCAGAGAGGCTGCGTGGGGAGGGAGATTTCCCAGAGGACTGCCAAGAATCTCATGAAAGGCAAGGGCTCTCTTGCTTGCTTGGCTTATGGTGAAGATGGAACATGAATGGTTGATTGTTCTCATGAAGAGGCTTCAGAATGAGGAAAGTGGAAGCCACAGCGTGCTTGGGAGTCACTGAAATGCAGAGACTGATCATGGGCCAGGGCTGGCTGGGTGGAGGGCGAGAAGGAAGAGAAGCGGCACCACCGAGGAGGGGCGACCACTTCACGTCTACTCTCCCAGTGTGCCCCCTGGGTGGAAGGTGGTGCCCAGAGACTGACAAGAGTGATGACCCTGAAGGAGACAACTCTGCTGGAAACAGTCCACATTGCCAACAAAGACGCAGCACTCCAGGGTGGCCTGCAGACAGCTGAGGACCCCTGATTGTCTTAGACCCATCAGAGGGTCCCTGATTCCTGCTGCCTTCAGCTCAATGCTTAGCCCTCCTTGATGAAAAGAGGTCTCTGGGGAGCACTGCCTCTTCTTCCTGAGGAGGGATTCTGAAGCACCCAGTGAGAGGCAAGACATTACCATGTGCTGAGAGAGCCCAGATGTACATACTGGAGAAAGCACTGCTGACAGGGCAGGCTGTGAGGGAAGAGAGGACTCCAGGGCTTGGATGTTTGTGCCAGCCATGCATGGTGGTCTTGCAGCATGCTCTGTTCCAGCCACGGCTGGGCCTAGGGTGTTTGTTAATATTTATTCATTTGTAAAACCAAATTTGGCTTTACTCAATTTTTGTTCCCTTCTCTCCTCCTCTGCCCTCTCTCCACGGAGCAGGTGTGCAACAGTGGTGCCTGCATGGCTGTGGTGCCTACAGCAGGGCTGAGTTGATGGTCATCCAGGGCCTCTGTGTACAGAACGGGCCTGCTGGGGGGTTCTCCTAGACTAGGGGTCAGAAAATAGTTTCTGTAAAGGATCAGATAGCAAATATTTTAGGCTTTGTGGGTCACATATTCTTCTTTGTCATTTCTGTTGTTTTTATAACAACTGTTTAAAAGTATAAAAACAGTTTATTCATAGCTCCCAGCCATACTAAATGGCTGGAATTTTTGGCCCACAGGACACCTCTGTGGCCTAGATCAACCTCTGTGAGCCTAGACCAACAATCCACGAATGTAGAGAGAGAAAGGGCACTGATAACGGAGAACGGCTGGGAGGGTCTTCTACTGATGGAAAACCTCTTTGGAGAAGACTGATCATTAGACTCCTCAAGTATGAACTCTAATTCTACCAAGCTGGAAAAAAATAGAATAGGAGCTGTTAAGAGGTAAACTCTGACCGGTTAACATTTTGAAGAGTTTATCTGAGCAGGCAATGATTCATGAATCTGGCACTCCAAGCCAGAATGATTCAGGCCTCCTTTGAAGGAGCATGTGGGGAGACTTTTATAGAGTGAATGGGAAGCAGGGTAGGGGAAATGTTTAATTGGTCAAAGTGGAGCAATAATTGAAAAGTCCCTAGTCTGAGGTTGACTGGTGGTTTCTGACTGGTTGAATCCTCAGTGAAACTGAGTTGGGTCTTGCTTTGCTTCCATAAGAACCCGGGACACTTGAGGCACTCAGGTCCGATGGCCTCCCAGGTGATCATTTTAACAACACCTAGAAAGGGTTAAGGATTTTCATTCCAGTCCCTAACCCTCCTCTCTGTCATTTGTTTCCTGGAATTCCCCATACTTGAGTTTATTTGGAGTAAAATTTGCCTCAGATGTTTTGAAGTTCCCTTAACAACAAAACCCTCACTAGATTATTAAGGGTAAAATGAGGAAAAGAGCAGTAGAACATAGCCTTTGGGGCTGCATAGGGAGCTCGGTCCACACCACTGAGGGCAGGCCCTGTGGGAGATGTGGTGAGATTGGGCAGGATGCAGGAGGTATCTGCCTGGTACCTACAAGCCAAAGAAATCCCAGAAGCCTCGACAGGGGTGGAGGGCAGAACTGGGCTTTACTCAGCTTTGGGGAAGGGCAGTTTCTGCTGGGGGCTCCCTCCTGCTCACAGACATCTCCAAGACGCTCTGATGCAGAGACCCTCTCTTGGAAGAGCTGCCTTTCTAAGTGGATTCCCATCAGGCTTTGTTGTTTTTCTAAGTAGGTCATTAGAAAAGTTTTGGAATTTCTTATGTAATCAGAAAGAATCCATAGAACACCCAAGCAGTTCCAAGTGCTAAGAGGAAGTGAGTGAGTGCAAGATGAAGTCTGCAGAGAAGACTTTCACAATCTGTGTGACTCCTGCAGTGTGTGGGGAGCTAGCCAGGGGCTGGGGGATCCCGATTTAAGTGTGTCTGCATGACCTGTTTGTGGGGGCCATCCCTCTCTCCCTGGTTCTTAGTCTTCTCATCTGAAAAGTAAGATTGTTGAATGATGTGATCTTTCTGACTCTTGCAATTCTCACTCTAAAATTTTATGAGTCTAACTTCCCATTGCTGCTTTTCATTTTCTTCTACGTGAAGGGTTCCAAAGTAAATTGAACATTTACAATTTGATCTTCTATGACTGTGGTATATTTAGGAGTCTCTCTCTCTCTCTAAGTATGTAATAAGTGATCAGAACACAAGATTATCTAGGATACATGGAGGGTCATCTTCATCATGTTTATTTTATGCAGCTGGACCAAAGATATTTTAAGATTGAATTAAATCATTAATTCTTCTTCATGGTACTTTTAGCATTGTTTAAAAGGACATAGCAGAGTTTTGTAAAAGAGGAGTCTAGAAATATTTTCTGTGGCTGAAATTTATAGAGAATATAAGAATGGGATGTATTTTTACAATTAAAGTAAAAAATTAGTTTATAAAGGAAGAAAAGCAAGTTTTGTCTAGTCGTAAACTCTAGACCTATTGCCTGTATTCTGATCAATACTGCCCATGTGTCCAGTTTCTATCATAGTCACAAAGGGAGTCATTATGTGATTATGTGCTTGCTATCTAAATTGTTAGGCAGCTCTTAGAACATGAACCCAAGACATTTGGTGTGGTTGTTCCTGATAAAAATTTATTTGCTATTGAATCACGCTGGTTCAGTTCACCATATCTTTCCTCAGCGCGGGCTGGAACTCTACATAAATACTATACTGGGATATTTGTCATGTGGTTAATGATTTACATGCTTACCCTAGAGAGGGAATGGTGAAAAAATGCAAAGGGGTATACTTTGTTACTGGGTGGAGTAGATAATTTTTTGTGTTTTATGGTTTAATGATAAGGAAATCACCTATCCCACAAAATGTACCTTCCTGACATTAAAAAAATAATAATACGTGGATCTTTGTATAGCTCACATAAATGATGGCAGATATTTTCTTGGTACAGGTTTTAATAAAAAGAAGGAAAAGAACATAATCATTAGTACAGCTGAAGAACTTGGCAGTGCTGACAGTTTTGCTAAGAGCCCTTTTTAAAAAAAGTATAAAAAACGATTTTCCAAAGAGATGTCAAATTTAAGGTTTTCTTAATGTGCATGAGTTACTGAATATTTTATTTTATTTTTCTCTTGAGCTCACTGAAGACTTCCTCTCTCTCTCAGAAGTCCATCTGAAAGATAAAATCTTTCTCTGCTTTCCAGCCTTGTGTTGACCATGGAAGTAGGCTGTTTCTTGTTCCTCTTGTGTTCCTCATCGCTCTCCTGTGGCCTTTGTCTTTTTTTGGGGGACCATTTCAGCTTGAAGCCACCTAAGTCAAACCCAGCTCACAGCATTCCATCCTTCATGCCATGCTCTGCACCTCCTAATCTAATATCTTCAAGAGTAAGACTATCCTCTGCCTCTCATTCCCGACATTTAAAAATAAAAACCAGTTCCCCCTCACATTCTCCCTGGTGCCCACTTCTCATCCTCATTCTTCTCTTGCTCACTTTCTCTTACGTAGAAATTCTACTCTTATTTATCGTTTTATTTATTTCACTATTGTAAACTAGTGATGGAACTAAGTTGCCTTTATTTTGCCTTAGGACAGGCGAGTACATTAGGTGTTTGGTGTCTAAATGAGAGATCATGTATCTTAATTAAAAACTCTACCCAGGATTTGGTTACATTTTGATGAAGTATTATCACAGTGGCATAGGATCTACAGCTAGTGTGTGACAGCTTCAGACTGGAGGAAGCATGTCTTTGTTTTAAGTATCCTTGATCATGAGGCTCAAATGGCAAAAATCTGGTAAGAAAGTCCAGGGCAGACTCCCTGACTGCTCTCAGATCTCTGTGCGGAAGGTTAGGGTGCTTCCTGCCATCTTGTTCTGGTAGTCCTTGTCAAATTCTTCATTCTGGGCCACAGTAAAATAGTTCTTCCAGTCTCCAGGCATCCCTGAAACAAGGCAAAATCTCAATAATTGCTGCAGGAGTACAGGGAGAGGTAAGCATGCACCCTTAGGACCCCACCAAGAACGGGGAGAAACAGGCAACTTGCCTCTCAAAGGTTGTACAGTGGTGCTGCTGGAAAGAATAAATAATGGAGCATGAAACATTACTGGAAAATCTAAGCAGACCATGGGGACCACAGAGTTCCATTTGACATCTTAGACTACAAAGCTTATCTACCTTTCCTCATAAAAGGGGAGATGGAATGATCCATAATGCTGGTGGGCCAAGTGGTATAGTTGGCCATTGGGTTTTGCTTCATTACATCAAACGAGGTGTGATAGATGATTTTATTCAGAATTTCCTCTGATATGTCTTTCTCCAGGAACTTCAGTATCTTCTCAATTTCCCGCTTTGGGTCCTGTATGTGGAACAGTCACACCAAACAAATCATGTTGGGCCTCCCTTGGGGATGATGTTCCATTTGGACAGGATTTGGAGAGAAATGGGTTAAAGGATCAATTCAAACACATTTTAAAAATATTTCTCAAGTGACTCCTACTGCCAGGCACTGTACTGTCCCAGATACTGTAGCAACACAAAGATGAGGGCTGTCCCTGCCCTCAAGAGGCTTACCTTGAAGGAAAGGAATTAAACACAAACACAAACAACTGCACGGCTGGCTGAGAAAGTACATGCTGCCTGTGTACAGACAGAGTGCCAGGAGATTTGGTGGGAAGGAGCAACAGTATCTCCTGCGGCAGAACAAGGAAGGCTGTGTGAAGGAGGAACAATGTTGGTGGTGAAGCATAGTATGACTAACTCTAGTATTTGGACTACAACAGATGGCAAAAAGAACCTATGAACTTAACAGAAGGTCACTAAGAGGAGGAATAAAAGGAATCTCAAGTCGACCCAGAAATATGGATCCTTATTTCTTGAATCTTTTTGATCAAAGAGATACAGAAAGAGAGAAAGCTATAGCTTTTGATTAAGTTTCTGAGGACATTTTAGACGCTAGTTTTGTAATTCTAGGATGCTGATGACTGGGTCATGAGAGTGAATTTGTGCAGCCACTCATACACAATGGTTTGAAATTCAGAAATCAGTCCACTGTCCCAATACGTGGGACTAATCCTACCAGTGTTTATACGGATTAAACTTTGCTTTATGATGTGGGGTTGAGGTGTGCAAGAGGGAGAAGGAAGCTAAATTTCTTGAACACAACTATGTACACTTTACAAATATGATAGTGTAAATCTTTACAATGATCTCATGAGATAGACATGATACCATTTTGCAGATAAAGATATCTGGCTTATAAGTGTCAGGATCCAACAGATTGATTCAACTATAAAGCATGTGCTATTTCCTAAAGAAGAAGAATATTTTGAAAACTGTGAATTAAAGCAAAGCAAATTTAGAATGCCAAAAAGGTAGTTAGAGCTTTTGAGGATAAAACTGAGTTGCAAACAGTGTCATGGACTTGCACTGAAGGCTCTTCTGCAGGAAAGCCCATGCACTAGGGTTCTAAACAGGGATTGATGTATCCTAGGATGTGGGAGGATCTGATGGAGATGGCACTGCCCTCACCTCCTTCATGTCCTCGTAGAAGAGGTAGAGAATGCGGTGCTGGTCTTTTGCATCCCACCATCCCTTTACGTGGTCATACCAGGAACCCCAAAGCACTGAGGGGAAGGAGAGAGATGAGATGTCAATGCCAGCATGAAACTTGTAAAACAAACATGAATATTTCAAATAAATGGGGACATTTAATAAATACAACCAGAAGACAAAGACCTTGGGCAGAATTCTTATTTGCAGAAGAGAGGGATTTTTTTTTTTAAAGTAGGGTGATGATAAAAAGTATTCTGGATCCCTTGGTTTATATTTCCAACCTTGAACTTATTACTCCATGAAAGATTGTCTTGTGGCCAGGGATTCAACACCTTTATTTTCCTTGCATCATCACATAGTGCATTGGTCAATATTACACAATAAATATTGTTTCTGAACAGGCTGATTTTAAAAAGAAGACTTTTACTGTGAAAAATTTATAAGTACTGGATATTTGGGCACCTTCACTCTCTGATGGTAAATAGAGAGGCTCACGGGGTATTTTCTGTTGTCTCTGCCAACTCCACTTTCCATCGTCTTTTGCTCTGCTTGGTGCCCTGCAAAGCAACCTGCATGGACTTTGTCAATGACCTCCTTTGTCCTCAGGATTGCAGATGGACTGTGTCAGCAAGAGGTGTAGGAAGGCATTTAGAGGCAGAACGAGAGGAGGACATTGTGTTTATTTCCCTGATGCCATTCCTGTTGGCTCACTGCTTCCCCCACCAAAGGCTTTAGCTCCTGTCAAGGGGTCCTCTTTTGTCTCTGGAGAGATATGGCTCCTTGCTGGTACTCTCCCCAGAATACTGCACTAGCCCTTGTCAGTTTCCTTAAACTCTGCTATAGCCTTGGAAATAGTCTCTTTGTTAGAGTCTTCCAGATGACCCAGTTTGAGTGCCATCTACTTCCTCACAAGACCTTGATGGATGCAGCCATTCAGTGAAAATTATCTTTCTTTCTGCTGTCAGCAGGTGAATGAATAAGGAAATATGAACTCACAGTTTTCTTCCACTCACCTTTTCCAGCTTTGAATGTCTCAACATATTCCTCCCATGTACCAGGGTCAGGCAACATTTTATTCATTCTTGAGAAATGATAGTAGGAGACCAGACAGTCCTTGGCATTTCTAGCCACATAGATAATCTGGAATCAGCCAGCAAGAGGAATGAGACGCAGAGAGAAAACAAGACAGAGAAATATCATTATTCAGTGCAGAGGACCATAATCTTAGAAAGCCTCTTTGTAGAATCTTGGACTATCCTATTGGAATAATTGCATGTTCATGCATTTTCTATGATCAAAGGTGACTATCCCTTCCAGTTTGTCTAGGTGCAGTTCCAATTTATAGCTGTGGTCTTAGCATGATCATTAAGAGCACCCCTTTTCTCTGATAGAAGTGTCCTGGGCTCTCCACTCATGGCCTAATCTCCTTTCAAAGGTCCCACCTCCTAATACTATCACTATTGGGGTTAAAATTTCACATATTAATTTTGAAGGGACAAATGTAGACGATAGCATGTGCTATATTTTTCAGTGTGTGAAGGTTCCCCTTGGCTTTCACTAAGCAAGGAATCTAAAGTAAGTTCTAGGCTGGGAGGAGCTAAAGCAGCTAGCCATTTGGTTTAATTTCCATGATATGAATCCCAGCCTTAGTGATAAATTATCACTCCTACATTCATTTGCTGACTAGGTTGAAGGACGCTTGAGGCAGTGCTAAGTCCATCTTTGGAACTGTGTGTGATGGTCTTCTCATAGGGCAGGCATTGTCTGGTGAGAAGGAGCTGACTTCTTGACTTCTTGTCCTGGTGACCCCTTCCTCCCCTCATTACTCTGGCTCCCATCCCATCCTGCCCTGCTGTATGCTATCTTAGCAGGGCTTGGGAAGAACCATTCTCAGTGGTTTCTCAAGAATTTTTGTCCTGTGTCTTACTACGGAACTTCTGTGTCCAACACAACCAATCATCCAGCCTTATTTTACTCTAAATGAATTGCCCTAGGTTCTTGCTTTCCATCTTTGCTCACTCAGATGAACACAGTCCTGGCATGACTCTGTTTTTCTGCCCCCTTTCTTGCTGCTGGCTTTCCATCCAGCATTTATGAAAGCATTTATGGTGTCAAAAAGTATGATGCAAGTACAAAGTCTTATTATTATGTACATATATTTTGTGTAATATTCCTTAATGCTTATGTTGCTTATTGCCTTCTAGGCCTAAATGGAAATGGGAAGTCCTAGGATAAACAGGGAACATATTCAAATATACATTAGGTGTGGGATCCAATGTCAAATAAAATTTCTGAGAACCTCTTGATTCATCTGTATTAATTTCCAATTGCTGCTGTAACAAATTACCACAAATGGCTTAAAACAATGTAGATTTATTCTCTCACTGTTCTGAAGGTCAGATTTCACTGGGCTAAAGTCAAGGTGTCAGCAAGGCTGGTTCCTTTAATGGGTCTGGGGAGAATTCATTTTCTTGTTTTTAGCATCTAGAGGCCACCTGTACTTCTTGGCTCTTGACCCCTTCCTTGAATCACTCCAAATTCTTGCTTCAGTTGTCACAGCTCCTATTTTCTCCTCTGATATGCTTGTCTCCATCTTTTAAATACCCTTGTGCTGATATTTAAGACCAAGACAATCCAAGATAATCTCCCCATCTCAAGATCCTTAACTTAGTCACTTCTGTGTAGTCCATTTTGCAACATATGTTAATACTCCCGGGTCTGGTGATTAGGATGTAGCTATCTTGGAGTGACTATTATTCAGCCTACCATACCATGATAAAATGAAAAACTTGGACTAAGCTCCCTACAGTCTTTTACTACTCAAATAATTCACACCAAGTCTAAGTGGATAAATGGAAGTGCTGCCACTAAGATGTTTACATTATTTAGAAGACCTGATTTTACAAAAAGAAGATGTTAGTATGATGACTAACCAAGTGTTAGTGTGTCTTCTGACAATGAGTCTACAAGATTTGGAAATAATATTGGTTCTTGAGGAATAAAATTAACATACAATAAGTGAAGGTATTTATCTGTAGGAATAAACCAAGAAGTTTTCAGAAATCCAGGTGATCTGGGCATGATCTCAGGGAAGCAAATCAGCAAATTGGGGGAGCCAAGCAAACAGATACTTGGAAAACTATTCAATTGTATTGTACCTTATTTGGAGATAGGAGATGGACAAAATAAAGAGCTAGTGAGTCATGGAAGCTCAGAAAAAATAGGAAGTCAAAAGCAATCACTCGCATCATGTATCTGAGCACTGCACCAAGGAGAGATAGTTTTGGTTAGACTTGACCGTTATGGTTTCCTTGGTAAATTTAGTCTAGAAGGTTGAAAGATTGCAGCTGTCATAGCTGAAAAACACTGTTTAACATCAACTCACTTTCTCAGCAATCTTCAGACAACTGTGTTTACAAAGCAGCTTGCCCACAAGGAGATGATGTGCTGGTCTAGCTGATACAAGCATTTGGTTCTGCTGAGTGGCTATACTTTTCATTGCAAATGTATAAGTTGATATTTTGTTTATATTACACATTTCATTAACTTAAGACTAACTTATAAAGCAGAAATCAAAAGGAAACCCCGCTACACTCAATGTACACTGCACTTATAGGATCTGAATTAGAAAGTGTCAAAATAAAAATATATTTTTTGAAAATGAAGGAAATAAAGGTCTAACAGTACCTAGGATCTTGCTTCATGAGATATGCTTTCTGAGAGTCTGTTGATCTCTCAGTTAGCATTAAGGGTGGGCCAGATCAAAATAAGACAAAGTTATATTTCTCATCCTGAAAAGAAGAGGAGCAGATTTTGGATACCAAGGTGTACATAATCTCATCAGGGCAGCCAAATGGTGGCCATGAACATGGGCTGTTCAGATCTCTGGATATGGAAAGTAAGTGATGGATGACCTCAGCTGCTGTATTCTGAATCCACTACCATGTTCTTTATAAGACCACATTCCCAAACGACTGCTCTTGGCTAATGAGTAAGCACAGCAGGCATGCTAAGGCAGGTGCAGTTTATGAGATATGGGACTCTCTGATGGTTGACTTTGGCTGGAGGACTCCCCATCAGCTTGGATGAATCATGACTCATGACTGTAGTCTGAGTCTTCAACTCTCCTTCCTTGACTCTCCTTTATAGGGGTCAGACTTGCATCATGGTCTTATTGCTCTCCATACTTGTTTGTCTTACTCCTCGTTTCACAGGTTTTCCTCCAAATAGTTATCTTTCGGGTCTGACTCTGCCAGCTCGTTAGAGGACACAATCTAAGAGATCACTCTTCCTCAGGAAATACCTGCTTTGTTTCATTGATCATCTTCTTTGAATGTGGCTTAGATGGCAGATGGTCAGAATAATTTTGTCTGAAAATTTCCCAATGTGTACCCAAAAATAATATTTTGAAGGAAGATGAATCCAGAATGGAGTGTGTGGGAATGTGGGGTAATGCCACCATCTGCCCTATGGCTCCATGGGCTATCTTTCTTTTAGTATCTTTGACTGTTTCTACTTAGAGACATTATTTGGCCATGCCAATCAAACTCAGTTTGAAGAGTTGGCTCTTCTTACCTTTGAATTTTCTTTCCAGAAGGAAGGTGGTAGCATCTGAACAGGCAGATGAGTCTTCAGAGTTCTAGGAGAAGGCATCTTGTTAGCCAGATCCAGACCTGGGAAATAAGGCCACATCATTCAGCCAAACATTTCTCATCAGCTGCATAGATTTGATATTACTACTGTGCCAATTATTTGAAATCAGATTGACCCAATAGTCAGCTCTCTGTCTAAAAGAATAATTTTTATGCCTGTGTTTCCTTTTTGATGACAACTTTACTGCTCATTCTGGTAGAGGAAAGCACTGATGAAATATTGAAAACTATGGGGACACATTACTTCCCTTGCTTGTTGGGCGTTGGTGTGTACTTGTGTGGGCAGATAAAGATGTTTGAGCTTGGTGAGAACAGCTTTATAATAGCCCCAGTAGCTCTAAAGCATGCTAGATTTTCTTTCAACTTTTACTTTCAAGGACAAGAACCACAACAGCTATCAGACATGTGCAAGAATTGTGCTGGGAAGTATTTTTAGTTGAAAAACTGCCTTATAGTGATCAAGTAATTTTTCCAAGTTAGTAAATGTGAAAGCCAGGATTAGAAATCAGTGAGTCTATGAGTGTGGAGAGTCAAGGAAGAGAAACTTTGTAAAAAAATAGTAGAGAGGCAAGAAGGACTTAGATAAAGTACAGACAAAATCATTCCTGGAAATCGAAAATCCAACGCTAACTGTTAAAATGCTGAATATAAGCTGGATGTAGCCATGTGCAGCACCAACCTCAGGGGAAAGGCTTGCAAGTAAAGCATAAGTGTCAGTAATGGAGAAGGTAGCTTCTAGTGGAGAATGAGATATGTAAGGAAAGGGAGGTTCTCCTTGGTGGCACAGCAGTAAAGGGATAGAAGGAAGCAAGAGGGAGAAAATTAAAGTAAAAATTTTGCATAAAAGAGAGAAAGAAAAAGCATGCCAATTTCTTCTCCTCCCCACTAACCAGTACTAAATACTTATAAACAAAACTGCACAGAAGAAGGTAGAACTGACAGAAGAGGATGTTTTCAAGCTAGAAACTATGTTCATGAAGTATATAAAAATAGAAAAAACCCCACAGATTTCACTGACACAAAGCTATTACAAAGATCAAGGAGTCAAATACAAAAAATAAATCAAATCCCCACAAAATCAACTACAAAGCTGAAAATGAAAATGCAACATTTTAAACTAAATTAAATATCTTGAAACAAACATTTGAGAATACGAAAATAAAATCTGAAATCACAAGTACAAAAAGTAAGGAAGAACGTGGACAAAAAAGGAAAATGAAAAAGATTTGATTGAACTCAACGAAGAAGTAGAAGAAAAAGGCAAAATAACATTAAAAATTAAATTATAAAGTGGATAATGGGGAATAGATTTAAGTGAAAATATAAATGCTGTTGATGAAAAGCACTAAAACAATTAAGACAATGACACAAGAAAAAGAAAGAAGTAAAAAGTTTCAGAGAGCAAGTGGCTGACATTGAAGACAGGTAAAGAAGGTCTAACACTAGTAGAAGTTGGAGTCCCTGAGAATAAAATGAAAACAGTGGAATGAAACTAGTATTTAAACCTGTATTCTGAAACAGTTTTCTGGAGAAAAAGCCTGGAATTTATATGTTAACCATGGGATATCGGGAAAGTTGATTCATAATGATCAACTCTGAAATATATGGTAAAATTATTATATTTTATGATTAAAAAAATTCATGCCTCATGCAAAAGAAGAAATAATCCTTAAGGTCAATAGAACCAAATTGGCATCAGACCATCAGACTCCTGAAAACATCATCAAAAGCAAGGAAACTGTTGATCAGCATTGTAAAGAAATTAAGGACAGAAAATATGAACAAAAGATGTTATCCCCAGGCAGGCTGTGCTTCAAGTATCAAGGATAGACAAAAAAAGGTTTAAATGTGCAAGGAGTAGGGAATACAGTACACATGTGCCTTTCCTGATGAATTAGCTAGAATAGGTTCCATTCAATCAATAAATGGTTTGGAAATCTTTGCAAAAAGGATCGATGGTGAATATTTCACGTTATATAATATTACAACTAAATTAATGAGGGTAGATCAAGAGTAGAAAAATAATGTGTAAACCTTATAGGTTTCCACAAAGTAGTAATCATACAACTTAATATTTGAAATATAATTATTTGCTATTGTATAATTAATAGGAGGAGTCACGGGATTCCTTTGAAACCAGCAGATCAGATAGTAAAATGTTAAGTAAGAGAAAGGAGGAATTAAGGTTTTGTAAAATAATACACAAATTTGTTATTTTGTAAAACAAATAACAATTTGTTATTTGTGTAAAATAATACACAAGTAACCACTATGATGAAAATACAAACTTTTCTAAATACCAAATACACCATCAAAACAAACAATCCCCCACTTTTTTTTAAAACAAAAAGGAAAATAAAAAGGATACATTAAATAGGGAAAGAAACACAGTAAATATTACTTATTACCACAGTAATTTGAACAAATGATAATATGACATAATTGTGACCAAACATATCAGTCATATCAATAAATGTGAGTGGCTTAAATAACCTATTAATATTTTTCAAATTGGCTTGTAAAGGAAAACCTAACTGTATGCATTATACAAGTGAATACCTGGAAGCATAATAATTAATATAAGGTAAAAATAAAAGAATGGATAAAGATATAAAACACAATGAAAACTGTAAGAAAGCAAGGATTGTGGAGAGCAAGATGATGAATAGAAGGCTCCACTGATCATGCCACCTCTCTGCCCCCTCTGCCGTGCAAGGAATGCCACCTTAATAACTATCTACACCAAAGAAACTCCTTCATAAGAACCAAAAATCAGATGAGCACTCACAGTACTTGGTTTTAACTTTGTATCCCTGAAAGAGTCACCGAAGAAGTTAAAAAAAAACATGACTCTTGAATTGCCAACAACACCCCTCCTTCTCCCCCATGAAGTGGCAGCGTGGTGCTGAGAGCGTTTCTGTGCACTGGGGTAGGGAGAGCTCAGCAATTGTGAGGCATTGAACTCAGTGCTATCTTCTTACAGCAGAAAGCAAAACTGGACCAAACTCAGCAGGTGCCTGCCCACAGAGGGAGCATTTAAACCAGCGCTAATAAGAGGGGAGTCACTGATTGCAGTGGTTGAAATTTGAGTTCCTGCAAGCTTTGAGGTCCAAAGTGCTTTGGGGTCATAAATAAACTCAAAAGGCAGTCTAGGCGACAAGGACTGCCACTTCTAGGAGAGTCCTAGTGCTGAACTGGGCTCAGAGACAATGGACTGGTCAGGGTACAAGACCTACTGAGACACCAGCGGGTGTGGCTAAGGGAGTCCTGGCATCATCCCTCCCCTATTTCCAGGCCGCACAACTCATAGGCCCAAAAGAGATCTGTTACTTCCATCTGAGGAGAGAAGTGGGAAGAGTGGGGTGGAGTTTGTCTTGCATCTTGGATACCAGCTCAGTCACAGCAGGATAAGGCACAGATAAGAGTTTTGAGGCTTCCCTTCCAGGACCTAGCTCCCAGACATTTCTAGACACACTTTGGGCCAGAAGGGAATCCGCTGTCTTAAAGGGAAGGATCTTTAAGAATGAGTCCTGGCCAGGCATGGTGGCTCACGCCTGTAATCTTAGCACTTTGGGAGACTGAGACAAGCGGATCACAAGGTCAGGAGTTTGAGACCAGCCTGGCCATTATAGTAAAACACCATCTCTACTAAAAATACAAAAATTAACTGGGCGTGATGGCATGCACATGTAATCTCAGCTACTTGGGAGGCTGAGGCAGGGGAATCGCTTGAACCTGGGAGGTGGAGGTTGCAGTGAAACAAGATTGCACCTTTGCACTCCAGACTGGTTGACAGAGTGAGAGTCTGTCTCAAAAAAAAAAAAAAAGAGTCCTGGCAGCATTCATCACCTGCTAACTGAAAAGTCCTTGGGTCCTGAATAACCAACAGCAACATTCAGGTACTATGTTGAGGGCCTTGAGTGAGACCTTGAGATATGCTGGCTTCAGGTACCAGGTTGACCACAGTGGGGCACAGCACCAAGTCGGCTGTTGGAGACTCTGATTCCAGAACTTGGCTCTTGGATGACATTTCTGAACCTTCCTTGGGGCAGAGGGGAGAACACTTCCCTGATGGGTGTGTCCCAGGCCAGGCAACATTCACCACAAGCTGAAGAGCCCTTGGGCCTTAAGGGAACATCAGTGGTAGTCTGGCAGCATTCCCTATGGGCCTGTGGTGGCGGTGGCCCTGGGATGAGGCTCCTCTGCCTTTGGAAAGGGGAAGGAAGAGTGGGCAGGACTACATCTTGTGGTTTGAATGCTGGTTTAGTCACAGTACAGTAGAATACCAGGTTGACTTCTAAGGTTTTTGACTGTAGTCTCTGGCTCCCAGATGGCACCTCTGGAGCAGGTGGGAACTCATGATGAAAATCCTCAAAAAAACAGGCTATAGAAGAAACATACCTCAACATAATAAAAGCCATATATGACAGACCCACAGCTAGTATCATACTGAATGGGGAAAAACTGAAAGCCTTTGCTCTAAAATCTAGAACATGACAAGGATGCCACTGTCACCACGGTTATTCAATACAGTACTAGAAGTCTCAGCTAGAACAATCAGAGAAGACAAGGAAATAAAAGACATCCAAATTGGAAAGGAAGAAGTTAAATTATCCTTGTTTGCAGATGATATAATCTTATATTTGGAAAATCCTAAAGACTCCACAGAAAAACTATTAGAGCTGATGAAAAAATTTGGTAACACAGCAGGATTCAAAATCAACATACAAAAATAAGTAGTATTTCTATATGACAACAGTAAATGATCTGAAAAAGAAGTTTTAAAAGTACTCCTGATTATAATAACTACAAATAAAATTAAATACCTAGGAAGTAACTTTATCAAATAACTGAAAGATCTTTATAATAAAAACTATAAAACACTGATGAAAGAAGTTGAAGAGGACACCAAAAAATGGAAAGATATTCTGCGTTCCTGAACTGGAAGAATCAATATTGTTAAAATGATCATACTACCCAAAGCAATCTATATATATAATGTAATCTCTCTCAAAATACTGATGACATTTTTTCACAGAAATAGAATAAACAATCCTAAAATTTACATGGAACCACAAAAGACCCAGAATAGCCAAGGCTATCCTAAGCAAAATGAACAAAACTGGAGGAATCACATTACCTGACTTCAAATAACCAAAGCACCATGGTACTAGCAGAAAAACAGACACACAGATCAATGGAATGGAATGGAGAACCCAGAAACAAATTCACACTCTTACAGTGAACCATTTTTGACAAAGGTGCCAAGAATATACACTGGGGAAAAGACAGTCTCTTCAAAAAATGGTGCTTGGGAAAACTGGATATCAGTAAGCAGAAAAATGAAACTAGACCTCTATCTCTCACTGTATATAAAAATGAAATAAAAATGAATTAAAGACTTAAACCTAAGATCTCAAACTATGAAACTACTACAAGAAAACATTGGGAAAACTCTTCAGGACATTGGTCTGGGCAAAAATATCTTGAGTAATACCCCACAAGCACAGGCAACAGAAGCCAAAATGGACGAATGGGATCACGTCGAGTTAAAAAGGTCCTGCACAGCTGAAAATACAACCGACAAAGTGAAGAGACAATCCACAGAATGAGAGAAAATATTTGCAAACTACCCATTTGACAAGGGATTAATAACCAGAATATATAAGGAGCTTAAACAACTGTATGGGAAAAAAATCCAATAATCCAATCAAAAAATGGGTAAAAGATTTGAATAGACATTTCTGAAAAGAAGACAAACAAATGGCAAACAGGCATATGAAAAGGTGCACAACATTGTTGATAATCAGAGAAATCCAAATCGAAACTACAGTGAAATATCATTTCATCCTAGTAAAAATGGCTTATATCCAAAAGGCAATAAACAATGCTGGTGAGGATGCAGAGAAAAGGGAACTTTTCTACACTGTTGTTGGCAATGTAAATTAGTACAACCACTATAAGGAACACTTTGGAGATTCCTCAAAAAGCTAAATATAGAGCTGCCATAGGATCCAGCAATCCCACTGCTGGGTATATACCCAAAAGAAAGGAAATCAGTATATCAAAGAATTATTTGCAATCTCATGTTTGTTGTAGCACTGTTCACAATAGCCAAGATTTGGAAGCAAGCTAAGTCTCCATCAGATGAATGAATAGACACACTTTGGCCCAGAAGGGAATTTGCTGTATTAAAGGGAGTATTATTCAGCCATAAAAAAAAAGACCTTGTCATTTGCAACAACATGGATGGAACTGGAGATCATTGTATTAAGCAAAATAAGCTAGGCACAAAAAGACAAACATTGCATGTTCTCACAAAAAATCTAAACAATTGAACTCATGGAGATGGTTACCAGAAGCTGGGAATGGTAGTGTGGGTGTGTGTGAGGGATGTGGGGATGGTTAACGGGTACAAAAATTAGTTAGAAAGAATTAATAAGACCTACTATTTGTTAGCACAACAGAGTGAGTGACTATAGTCAATGATAATTTAATTGTAAATTTTAAAATAACTAAAAGAGTATAGTTGGATTGTTTGTAACATGAAGCATAGATGCCTGCGGGGATGGATAGCCCATTCTCCATGATGTAATTATTATGCACTGTATGCCTGTATTAAGACATCTATGTATCCTGTAAATATATACATTTACTATGAACCTACAAATGTTAAAAATTAAAAAAAGAAAGCAAGGATTGTGATGCTATAAGATAAATTAGAATTCAACCCTAAATATGTATGACACAAAGAAGAAACTTCATAATGTGAAAGATTCCATTATACTAATAAAATATAGTAATCATGGATATCTATGTACCACATAATCAAGTAACCACTTACACAAAACAGAAACCACAGCAGATGCAAACAGAACACATTAATAATAGGATATTTTAACTTTCAGTGCAAAATAAGTTAACTGGAAAAAAAGAGAAGAATACAAAGAATTTAAACAACATAATATATTAAATCTTTTGGGTAATAGAGAATATACTTTCTTCTCAAGCAAACATAGAAAATCCACAAAATAATTATATATTAAGGCACAAGTAAAACATCAGTAGATTTCATAGCATTGACATTTTACAAACAATAGCCTCTTATTCCAATGCAATAAAACTAGAAATCAAACACAAAGACAAAAACCAAAGAAGCACTTTCATCTGGAAATTAAAAACTTCTACTAAACACCTCTGGTATAAAATTACAAAAATTCTGAAAAATGTAGTGAAATTAAATGTAACAAAACACTACATATTAAAAACAAGTACATTTAACACGATGATCAGACAAAAATTGATAACCCTAAACAAAGAATAAGTTTAAATACATTAATTGAATTCCCAAGTCAAAAAATATTTGACTAAATGCAACCGTGGTTTATTCTTAAAAACTCTGAGAAAACAAGGAATAAAAAGAAACTTCTTCAGTCTGATAAATGGTATCTAAAAAAATCTGCATCTAATATTATACTTAATGATGAAAGAATGAATCCTTTTCCACTAAGATTAGAGCCCAAGGCAAGAATTTTGCTCTAATTATTTCTATTCAACACTGCACTGGAGACTCCAGATGATAGTGAAATAAGGCAAGAAAAAGAAATAGTAGAAATCAAGACTAGAAAGCAAGAAGTAAAATTGTCTTCATTCAAAGAAGGCATCATTGTCTGTGTAGAAAATCCACTATGCAATCGAAAAGTACAAAAAATCTGGAACTAATAAGTCAAGTTGCAAGATACAAGGGCAAACAAAAAATCAATATATTTTAACATATCAGCAACATATAAATTAAAATATAACAATATTAAAATATATTTTAACAAAATAATAAAACAAAAATACTTATGATTAAATTTGACTAAAGATGTGACAGATATAATGAAAGCTGTAAATCATTACTGAGTGATATTTAAAACGTTCTAAATAATTGGAGACATAAAGCACTTTCATAGGCCAGAAAAGCCAATTTTGTTAGGGTATTAATTCTTTCCAAACAGATGTATAGATTTAATGCAATGCCAACCAAAACATGAGGGGGTTGTTGGTTCTTTGTTGGTTTTAGTAGCAACTGACAACTTGATTATAGAATTTATATGAAAATGCAAAGATCCTAGAATAGCTAAAGCAAAAAAAAAAAAAAAAAAAAGAGAGAGAGAAAGAATGGGAGGTCTTATTTCTACTTAACTTCAAAACTTATTATAAAGACTACAGGAATTATTATGAAACAGTGTTTCAACAATTATTATGAAGCAGAATAGAAAATCCAGAAATATACCCATACATAAACAGTTAATTAATTTTGGCAAAAGGGTCAAGACAATTCAATGGGAGGAAAGATTAAAAAATATTTTTCAATAAGTGTTGCTGAAATAATTGTTCCAATCAATAATAGGGTTTCAATACGTATTAGGTATTATTATTTTACAAATGAAGAAAAATTAAGCTTTGAAATGCTTAATGACTTGCTCAAGGTACCCAGATAAAAAATCCATACCAGCATTTGAAGCTTGACTGTGTGATTTTAATGTCTATGCCTTCTCTCCAAAGGCTTGTCTCCTACTGTGAAAACTACTATTTATTACAATTGGCTTTATAAAAATATGTCCTTTATTCCCAACTTGATTACAGAATCTTCAAGGGTGCCTTCTATATCTTGCATTCTTAGTATATTTGGTGTAAAGTGTAATCATTTATGGTAGTACTTTTATCCCCAGGTATTTTGACATGAACCCCCTTCGAACTCCTTCCCAGTTCCTTATGGACATAGTTTCTAAAAGGCTAACTGCAGAAATGATTTTCCTCTTGGGTGAAAACTGACCCAGGACAGTGGTCCCAACCCCGTAGGACTCACTCGGGCAGACTTACCTGAGTTGAGGGGTGGGGGCAGTGTCCACTCGATGAAAGGATGGCGGTCAAAGGTGTTGGCCCTCTGGCACTTCTGCACATCCCCATCATTTTGGATCATGTCCACAATCTCCTGTGTCCAGGTTGTGCCTAGAAGCATTGGTTATTCTCATCTTCACCTATTCGTGGCACAATTTAATTCTATTTTCATGGTTACTCATGTATTTAGTTAATCTCCCAATTGCTGAGTGTTGAGCAGGATCAGCTCACCCGCCCTCTCTTCCACATGAACCCCAAGGTGAATGGGGCTTCCGCATACCACCTAGAGTGGGTGGGGCCTCTCCTCTGAGCACCAGACCCCGTCTGCACTCTTTGATTATCATAGTCTGCTTATATATTGCTTCCTTGCCACTAAGAGCTCTTTGGAGGTAAGAACTCATTTTTTTTTTTTCCTTTGTTCCTAGTACATACCATGGGGCTTTGCACCTAATGAATATAGCTTCATGGTTGAATATTGAAGCAAATGAAAGTAGGGAGATACAAAGATGAATTAGCCATTATATCTGCTCTAACAAGCTTACAATATTTTGGGAGGACATAAGATGTGACAGAGAGTGCTTCTTGCCATAGCTACTATGCATTCTTCCCTTCCCTTTCAAATTAATAGATTCTCAATTTTTAGCTTGGCATATAGCTGTTGGGCTTAAAGGTTATATTTTCTACTACTTCTTGCAGATAAATGTGGCCATGCCAGTAAATTCTGGGACCTGTCGTGAAAGGAAAGGGCATGACCTTCTTCATTCCTTCCTACCTCCTTGCTGGTATTTGGAATGTGCCGGTGGTGATTGGAGCCCCAGCAGTCATACTGGACCATAAACTCAAAAGCCACACCTCAGGATAGTGGAGCAGAAAGCTAGAAGGAACCAGGGTGGCTCATGACCAAGGCAGCCGCTGTTTCAGCCCCAGGCTACCAGCCTCCTGACTGCTTTTCTCTTTGTGTTATTTTGGGTTTTCTAACACTTGTAGTCAAATAGAATCTTAACTGATACAGAAGAGGCCTGTAAATGGACATGTGGGTAGGCAAAAAGGTGGACTGAAGCAGACAGAGCTAATTGTCCACCAAATATCCATTTTCTTCTTACTACTTTTGATGGCTCTGTGGCTTGCAGCCAAACCTGATGCTAACTGAAGCATGAGACACATGCAGATAAACGAAAGAGAAACTGTTCCAGGAAGGGCTGTAAAGATGTGTAAAGTGGTCTAGGAGTTCACAGGAGGGCGGACCCACTGAGAAAGGGGTTGGTAGGGCTCCGTAGAGGAAGGGGATGGTAGCTCTGAAATGAAGGGCTGAAGTGGGAATAGAATGTCCATGTTAACAAAGGAGGCACAGCATCCTAGGCAAGGAGCCTCAGGAGCTAAGACAAAGGCGTGCATATTCCACACTAGGAAGGAAGGAGGGCTCGCAGGAAGTTGAGAGGTGCTGGGAGAGATGGCGGAGTAAGACTGGGGAAGCATTGAGGCCTTGGGATGGAGGGCCTTGGGGCCAACTGCATAATTTCCCATGCAAACTGAAACAAAATTTCTGCCCTTAGGTAATACAGGTTTACCTTCACATCTGGACAAAGAGAAGTGTCCAATGCAAATCAAACTGATAGGAGATTCTAGAGAAACTGAAACTTACTAATAGCAAGCCCCTCCCTAAGTTTATTAAGAACGCCCTGGCCAGCCAATGCTGAGTTAATAAGAAGGCAGTGAGGTTAAGGAGGGGAGTTTGGAGCCAAAGAGGACAGAAACACATTTCCATGAACTGTGGTGAAGGGACCCTTTTCTGAAATCTTTCGGTTATAGTATCTAGTGTTCTTCATGTTGAGTCAAGTGGCCACTGACTTTCCCAAACTCATTAAAGTCCTTTACCTCACTTGGTCACACTGCCTGAAATTATATATTCATATAACACGGGGGATTATGAGTCATCATCACAGTCTTGCTGGTGGTGATGTTCCCATTCCTCCACCCTGCACAAGCCTAGGACACTCTTTGCCATTTCTGACTCTTGCTTTTCCCACAAACTCCTCTTCCTTTCATAAGATTCTGGTAAATGCCACCTTCCCTTTCTCACATCTTCCCCATCATGCTCACATACATTTTGGCCCCAACTCTATCAGTGCTTTTTATAGTGGGGTGAAAGCGTTCAGTTCCACATGTCTCCACTGGGAGGAGCTTCTTAAGGGCAAGAACTGTGGTTAATTCCAGGAGGACTTAGCAGATGGGAGCAGGGACTGGCTGGCTGGCAAGTTTACTGTAAGAACCTCTGTGCTCTGTAATTCTTTCAGTCCTTTGGGAATTTGGGATTCTGGCAGTCTCTTCTACAGGGACCAACTAAAAGGAAGATCTTGGACTGTAGAGGATTGGAGATCATGAGCAAGTCTGGTTTTCATTTTTTTCCAGGGCCAGCACTGGTGACAACCTGCATTTTTCAATTGGGAAACTCACCCCAGGTGTCAGTGCTCTGCTAAATCTGGCTTTCCTGCCATTTCCTCACACCCACCTGCCTTTGCATAGGTTGCAATGAGGAGATCATCAGGTTTTGCTTGGAAATTCCAGATTTTGTCCCAATTATCACTAATCATTTTGGCCATGAGGATTCCATTCACTTCTCTAGTTTCTGGGTGTAGAAATTTTTCCTCCAGCTGAAGCTCTTTCATCTTCTCCAAGGACATCTTACTGGGAGGACTTGACAGCTGCTTAAAACAAAGGTGTGCTGTGTCATTTCTAATACTTAGAACTGTCAGTCCTTTTTTAAAAAAAGATTATTGTCTGAGACAGTCAGAAGAGACATCTGGTGGGAATTTATTGCTGTGTTTCATGTTAATTTAAGTGAGAGAAGTAAAAACCATGGGAGCCTGAGCATTGCAAATAGCTTTGTTTCCGGGTAAAGAAAGATGGTAAAGAAACAAGTGCACCTCTGCTGGGGATGGACGCTAGGGAGGACCACAAACCTGGGAGATTTTTTAGCCAAGAGCTGGTTTGTGTTAGCTCCTCAGAGACGCCTGAGGCCTCAACCACAAGCAGGGGCCCTAGCGTGGAGCCCAGGGACAGAGGCGCCACTCAGTTCACAGACTTCTGTCAAGTTTGAGCAAGGAAAGGAAGGCTCTCATGCAGTCAGTGCTTAGACTGGTTGGATGCAAACCAGTACTGAAGCAGGCGGGGGGTGGGCCCTCTAGATTGCATCTGACCCAGACCCAGTCTACTACAGAGCTGGAGAAGGCACAGAACAGGCTTCATTAACTCATATTGGGTCTCTATAAGACAGTGATCTTCAGAAGGTTTCAGTCTGGCGGTCTGGGTTACATAGAAATATCCCTGCATGTTTACAACTCTAGATCTCACAGCCTGCCCAAATCTCTGGGGAAGAGCAATATGGCAGCTATGGAGGAACTTCACTTTGCTGGGGGAGGAACTCTAACGAGCTTGGGATGTCATCATTGTTCCCAGAGTAGTTCACTTTAGTTCACCATAGTGAATCTTAGTATATACTTATTAATGTTTCATATAAAAATAATTTCCTTCTACCCAGAAGGTGCAAGTACAATTGATGCTTCAGGCCAGGTGCAGTGGCTCACACCTGTAATCCCAACACTTTTGGAGGCTGAGGCAGGCAGATCACGAGGTCAGGAGTTCGAGACCAGCCTGGCCAATATGGTGAAATCCTGTCTCTACTAAATATACAAAAATTAGCCAATCTTGGTGATACGCACCTGTAGTCCCAGCTACTTGGGAGGCTGAGACAGGAGAATTGCTTGAACACGGGAGGCGGAGGTTGCAGTGAGCCAAGATTACACCACTATACTCCAGCCTGGGTGACAAAGTGAGACTCTGTCTCAAAAAAAAAAAAAAAAAATTTCAGAAATATGTAATGTGCTTCCAGCACACATATTTTCTGTGGCATTCATGATCTCATTTAAGAACAAAACTGATGGGTTTCCAGTACCTAGTAGGATAGCTTTAATAGGGCCATGGAGATGTAGGTCTTAACTTAAAGGAGCAATTGCAAAGGTGGAAAGTTTCTGCAGGCCAATGGAGTCAATCATGGCAGGTGTTAACACTGTACCCAGTAGTGCTACTGCTTCCTCCTAAATAGAAGACATGTTCTAATGAGTTCTTTTAGAAGTTGTTCTAAGTTTGGGCAGAATTTTGAGATATTAAAAAGATGGCATGATTTTCCAAGTGTGCAGAAGTGTGATCTATGAACTATTCCAAAGGAAGCCTCAAAGAAGAGAGAATCTGGTCCTTGATGGGCATTCCTTTTCATCTCCCGTCACTCCCTTGCCCCCATGACCTGTGTTTCCTCGTCGTTGAACTGACTTCAATCTCCTGAACAACCTTAGACCTTTCATGACCCTGTTTTTTGTCTTTATGCCCATGCTCCTAGGTAATCAATCTTCAACTCGTTCTTTAAAACACTCTAAAATGTAACATTCTTTAAAACACTCTAAAATGTAACTCTACTAAACCTTGACTGTATGTCTTTTAATGCATGGTTATCGTTTGGAAAAATCTCTATTTCCAGTTTAGACACTATGTTCTTGAAGATAAAAGATTAAGTCATTCATTTAGCTCAAAGAAAAGTCAAATAGATGTTATCTGTTCCAGGGAGGTAGCCCAGAATATATAAAGAGCTTATCCTATGAATTGGAAAGTATACACCTATTACTCGTTCATCACTTTTGTACCAAACCATATTTCCTTGTGGTATTTTATGAATGGAACTAGGCAGAGCCCATGTGACCAGAAATAGGACCTCTAGCACCCCTTCTTCAGCAAAGCCCTGTAGCTCCTGTGACCTAGGCCGGATGCCACCAGTGCTATGTTGAGGGAATGTGGAGCTGCAGCTGAATCCTGTTGCTGGGGACTATCAAGACATCCATGTGTGTTCAGAGGGACACACTTCACCTGCAGAGGCCTCTGAACAGGAAGGAGCCCTTTCACTAACTTCCTCTGCAATCACACAGCGCTGGGAAGAATGAAGCAACAGGCACGATAATGTCTCCCAAAGATGTCTATGTCCTGATGCCTGGAAACTGTGAATATGTCACCTTTCATGGCAAAAGGGAGTTTGCACATGTGGTTGAGTGAAAAAATCTTGAGATGGGGAGACTATCCTGGATTATCTGGGTGAGCCCAATGTGATCAGAAGTGTTCTTATAAGAGGAAGGCAGGAGGTCATGTAATAGTGAAATAGCAAAAGAATTAATATAACTAACTATTGTTGAAGGTGCCTTTAACTCATTTTATATGTAGGCTAAGATAATTTTGGAGTACTGAGATAATATATAAAAAACAATCACGAATATATAAAAAACTAACTCTGGGATTAAAAAAAGTTATGTTAACAACTATGTTTTTTGAAACATTTGTAAAACATTGTGACCTGGTCAAAGACAAAAACGTTCTTAACCTCCTCAGACCCTTGCTGGCTCTCAGATTGTCAGTCACCTCTCTATTGCCACCCTCTCTTCTTCCCCCTGCCCTGAACATAAAAAGAGCCTAAAATCTGTGGTGACTTGAGATGGTACTTTAGGATGCTAGTATGGCATCTTCTTGGTTTGTTTGCTCTCTTAAAAAATCTGCTTTTCCTTCCACCAGCTCTTGTCTCTCATGTTTCTCTTTCGAGTGGCGGGCAGCTGAATCTGGATTTGGTTAAAACTATGGAGCCCAACATGGGACTGTGTGCCTCAGATGGTCTATCGTTCCTGGTTTCCAATGGATGGAGCAATTGGCTCTAGCAGCACAGCAGGGCTGCTACCTGGCAGAGCTACATTACCAGGCAGAGCAACAACCACTCATTGAGTGCCATCTGCTTGTGGCTAGCTGATCTCATGACTAGGATTCCAGGGATGTCCCAGCAACTGTTGAGAATACTTTTGTCTTGGGGATCCTCCCTTCTCTCCTGGTTGTAACATCAGCTACCTACAATGCTTCACAGGTGCAAGGAGAAGCAGTGTCTGGGGGAGTCAGTGGACTCCAGGACTGGGTAAGTTGCTCCAGTTTGTGTAACCAGGAACTCCCTTCCCCTCCATGTGGGCTTTTCCTCTGAAGAAGCCACTTTGTTTTTGTCTTTGATTGGCATACCCTGTTGGATAGGGAAATAGTTGCTGGACTGTTACCCAATGTGAGAACTGGTTTGTTTTCATTTGTCTGCCAGTTATCTTCATGCACTCTTGCTTACGTGTTTAAAAACATGAGAAAGTTCAAAGGCAAGCCAGGTTGTCTGAGACTCCAGCTGGTTACATATTATGGCCCATTTTTATACACATTTTGAACTGCTGGACAAATTACAGCAAGAAAACTTCAGAGCTCAAATGGTTAACCTACAACTATAGAGTTAAACAGAGTCTTCTAAAACTCTCTATTTCTTTCTTTATTGTTTTTCCTTCCTGCTTTGAATCTACTGCTATTAAACTCCTGGTGTTGAGATAAAACTCCCTTTTTATAATACCACCAATTCAAGGTTGTTTGGAGATTTTGTTTTTCTTATACAGTTCAACCAGTTCTGTAGACAATAAGCACTCATTTAAAACAAAAGGTAGATAATAAACACTCATTTTAAACAAAAATAGAAGGGTAAAAACTTTTTTAAAAAAAAATCAAATTGCCATAAAAACTACTTTAGCCAAAATTTTTGTTCACAGTCTTCACTGAATTGCCTATTGACAGATCCCAATTTTATCAAAAATAATTTGGATCTAGCTATCTTTTGTAGGCCAGTGATTTTTGTGATGCTGTCTCATGGCAAGAGTTCCAAGGTAAAAGCTGGTAAATCTTTGTGTGTACGTACATGTTTAAATATGTTTAAACATCGGCTCCTGTAAGTCTTCCCTCTCGTTCTAACTTGTGGCCTGATGCTAAAATGTTTTATCTTAAAGGTCTAAAACACCAATATTTTCCTCCAGTAGAACATGATTCTGTACTCTTGGCTTTTCTTAATATGTCTACATTTTTCAATATAATCTAATAACTTCTTAGGCAATTTCTAAGAGTAATGTATCTCCCTCCTATATTCACAACTTTAAACACATTCTTCCTGAGTCTGATTAAACTCAAGTACTCTTTATCATCAGGTTTGAATTCCCAGTTATCTAAATCAACTTCCCATAAAATAGAACAGTCACACTTCAAAAGGTTTTTCTTTGCCTCTTTGATAACTGGCTTGAAAAGCAAAATTTTGTGTTTTATCAAGATAATTTTTATATTATCTTTATTTAGTTTTTGACTACTTAAAAACCTGAGATTTAAAATAATTAAGATTTTCACATTTGTTTAACCTTCTGTATGCCTTTGTGGTCTTTTAATTATCACTCTTTGTTAAATAAATGACTGTCATTTTATAATAACCTGTAATTCTGTTTCAACCAAATGGTTTGAGCCTTTTAACATCTTTAATAAATGTCCTCAAAATCAAAATTCTAAACTAAGTCTCTGACCTAGACTTATTACTGGGGACTTTTCAAAGCTATAAAAATTAGTCACTGCAAGCTTGTAAAATCTTTTTACAACTTCCAGTCAGATCATAGACTCTGGTATCATTACCTCCAGCCACTTAGATGCGTCCTTATCAGGTGCTATTAACTAATCCTTGTGTTGTTAAGTTATAGGGTTTTGACTTCTGAGTTTATATTTCATCAAAAAAGTCACTAACTGGCTGGGCATGATGGCTCACACATGTAATCCCAGCATTTTGGGAGACCGAAGCAGGAGG